TCCCCCCTTTCTGGCCACTCTCCTGAACAAACATTCCCCATCACGCGCTCTGCGCTCCTCTGACCAAGGCCTGCTCGCTGTCCCTCGTTCTAGGTGTCGTACTCGCGGGGACCGTGCTTTCTCAGTCCTAGCACCGTCACTCTGGAACCAGTTGCCACCCTCAGTTAGGCTGTCCCCATCTCTGCCAGCCGTTAAGAGTCGCCTAAAAACACACCTCCTCTGCTTGGCGTTTCCTGAACATGTTTGATTCGGCCCTCTTTTACGTTGAATTTCATTCACAGTTTTCATTGGTTCACTCTTGTTTTACCCATCTGTCCTGTACTAGAATGTTTCACCTTTTTTTGTAATTTGTATTTTGTAATTTGAATTGCTTTTATTCTTGATTTATTCACTATATTTGTACTTCTACTGTACCATGTTCAGCGCCTTGGGCTTCCTGACAGGGTTGCGGAAGGCGCTTTATAAATAAAGCTTTGATTGATTGATACATTTCCCTTTGTTTAGTACTCGTGCCGCTCACTGTTTACATGCTTTTGCCGTCCAGCATGGTGAAAAACACTTTGGATCATGCGTGTTAAGCATGTTTACTCTCATGAAGCACACAGTCTGTTGCTGCGCGCAGCAGCAACGTCACTGTCAGCATTGTAAATTTCTCCTCTCTAATATATAATAATTTTCATCCTCTGTGCTCCTCTCACCCCGTCTCCTCCACTTCTCAGTTTGAAGCTTCCGGATGACGGGAAGTTTTCAAACTATTATCTCAGAAAATTTCAATAGAAACACCCATAAGTGTTGCTCAGATTGAAGTTACACATCTCCACTATCTTCTGGTGTAAAGTAATAACTTCATGAGCGATTATATTTGCAGCTGTGGCTTGTTAATCACAATATTGTGACTTTGGCGCTTAAAGGGTTAATTTTGCAGTCCTAATGCTACGGTTCTAATTATTGACATTAGTTCTTTCGGTGTTTCGGTTTTGGTTCCTCATGTTCGGTTTCGGCCAAGAATTTTCATTTTGGCGTATCCCTAGTTTGTTTTTATTATCTCATGTGGATCGCCCATCCATTCTGAGCAATCTCACACAAAATTTGAGACGATCGTGCAAAAAAATGACCAAGTATTTCAATCAAATGTGGACCCTACAAACGAACTAAACAGGTTCAAAATCGCTATTTAAATAAAAAATGGGCAACTTCCTGTTTGATGTTGACCATGGGTGCAAGAGACTTTTCTGTGTGAATTGGTGAGTACTACAAGTGTGCCACTTTCAAAACTGTACTATAAAAAAAAGGTCAATGGTGGGGCAGATTTTTTTCCTTTCTAGGGGGTGCTGTCGAGCCAATCTTATTGCGATTTTTGGGGACCTTCTAAATACAAAATTTTACACCAGGCCCGATACGTGTGCAAAAACGCCTGAGTTTTTATATATGTTAAGGCCTCCAAAAAGCCTATAGAGCTCCAGATGTCACGTGACTCTCAGAGAGTAGACGCCATGTTGGCAGGCAACAAATGTAAACAAAATGAACGGGATCAGCTTGGATTTTACTTCGTCTGAGTTTACTTCACACTTTAAAACCGAAGAAATCATTTTATATAGTCAGAAATTAAATAGACTAAACATCTCCGACCCTTACCGTGCCCCTGGGATACTTTTTAAAAACGCCAGAAGCTGTCGGAGCGGACATCTTACGGCACCTGGCCGGGGAACCCCATGGGATTCCCCCGGAGGAGCTGGCCCAAGTGGCTGGGGAGAGGGAAGTCTGGGCCTCTCGACGCTACTGCCCCCGCAACCCGACTCCGGATAAGCGGATGAAAATGGATGGACAAATAACAGATTTACATGTAAGTAATTTAAATAGAGTGCTGTGCTGTTTGAATGTATAAACTGAACGCCAAGAGAAATCACTAGTTTGATTTATTTCCGTGAATAAAATAAATTATTCAGGCAGGAGCGTCTCAGGATCTGTCTGAGATCTGTCTCAGTGAGACAGATAATAGCAATCCAAAGTGCTTTTTATGTGTGATCTGACAATTGATCAACCATTGCTTAAAAATTAAATACAGCTTAGCCGGTTAATTGCTGTGATCATAAAACACGTAAACGGCAGCACGCAGAACTCACGAGGAAACGTTTTACGTGATGTTTACTTGCTGCTATGAGCAATAAGACAGAAAAAGCCACGCCAAAATAAGTTTAGGAAGCCCACTAAGAATCATAATAAAAGCATTTAAAATAAATACCATACACAGTTGAGGAAACATTGGTTTGTACTGCATAAGTAAAAACCTTTACTCTCGGGATCCCACGGTTTCATTTTAGCCCGGTCACTAGAGCGTTTTATTACAATGATCCAACGTTTGCAGCGCTCCGGATCTTGGGGAATCCTGTAGATGGCTCATTCCTTATTTCGTCCGCGTCTGTTCTGCATCCTGGGGCACAACAGGAATCTACCATATTTCCCGTTTGATTGAGTTTTCTGACAATAACAAATAGTCCAGCTGTGGGCTTCTGCCTGTCAATATGGCTCTGTTTCGATTTGAACTGTTGCATGCCGGGAGAAGTGACGTCAACTCCCGGAGCTTTATTTATTTGGCGGAAGAAAAATAATAAACAAAGCAGATAAAATAGACCTTTGTAGCTGCTCGGGCCTAAAAATCAATAAAAATGTTTTTTCAGTGTTCCACACCTTTAAAACAAATCTCATCTAAATCATCTAATAGTAGTTCAGGCTAAAAACTTTTCTTTCTCATCACTGTCAACTTGACCTTACACCATTATTTATATCAGGGGTGTCCAACTCTGGTCCTGGAGTGCTGCTATTCAGCATGTTTTGGTTGTTTACCAGCTCCAACATACAGGTGCTGGCCAGTAAATTAGAATATCATCAAAAGGTTGAAAATATTTCAGTAATTCCATTCAAAACGTGAAACTTGTACATTATATTCATGCAATGCACACAGACCAATGTATTTCCGATGTTTATTACGTTTAATTTTGATATTTATAGGTGACAACCAATGAAAACATCAAATCTGGTATCTCAGACAATTAGAATATTCTAAAGGCCAATGAAAAAATGTTTGTTTCTCTAATGTTGGCCAACTGAAAAGAATGAACATGAAAAGAATGTGCATGTATAGCACTCAATACTTAGTCGGGGCTCCTTTTGCCTCAATAACTGCAGTAATGCGGCGTGGCATGGACTCGATCAGTCTGTGGCACTGCTTAGGTGTTATGAGAGCCCAGGTTGCTCTGATAGTCGTCTTCAGCTCCTCTGCATTGTTGGGTCTAGCGTATTGCATCCTCCGCTTCACAATACCCCATAGATTTTCTATGGGGTTAAGGTCAGGCGAGTTTGCTGGCCAATCAAGGACAGGGATACCATGGTCCTTGAACCAGGTGCTGGTGGTTTTGGCACTGTGTGCAGGTGCCAAGTCCTGTTGAAAGGTGAAGTCTGCATCCCCATAAAGTTGGTCAGCAGCAGGAAGCATGAAGTGCTCTAAAACTTCCTGGTAGACGGCTGCATTGACCCTGGACCTCAGGAAACAGAGTGGGCCAACACCGGCAGATGACATGGCACCCCACACCATCACTGACGGTGGAAACTTTACACTGGACCTCATGCAACGTGGATTCTGTGCTTCTCCGCTCTTCCTCCAGACTCTGGGTCCTTGATTTCCAAAGGAAATGCAGAACTTGCTTTCATCAGAAAACATAACTTTGGACCACTCAGCATCAGTCCAGTCCTTTTTGTCCTTGGCCCAGGCGAGACGCTTCTTGCGCTGTTTCTTGTTCAAGAGTGGCTTGACACACGGAATGCGACACCTGAATCCCATGTCTTTCATGAGTCTCCTCGTGGTGGTTCTTGAAGCGCTGACTCCAGCTGCAGTCCACTCTTTGTGGATCTCCCCCACATTTTTGAATGGGTTTGTCGTCACAATTCTCTGCAGGGTGCGGTTATCCCTAGAGCTTGTACACTTTTTTCTACCACATTTTTTCCGTCCCTTCGCCTGTCTGTTAATGTGCTTGGACACAGAGCTCTGCGAACAGCCAGCTTCTTTAGCAATCACCTTTTGTGTCTTGCCCTCCTTGTGCAAGGTGTCAATGATTGTCTTTTGGACAGCTGTTAAGTCAGAAGTCTTCCCCATGATTGTGGTGCCTTCAAAACAAGACTGAGGGACCTTTTAAAGGCCTTTGCAGGTGTTTTGAGTAAATCAGCTGATTAGAGTGGCAGCAGGTGTCTTCTATATTCAGCCTTTTCAGAATATTCTAATTTTTTGAGATACCAAATTTGGAGTTTTCATTAGTTGTCACTTATGAATATCAAATTTAAATGTAATGAACATTGGAAATACATTGGTCTGTGTGCATTGCATGAATATAATGTACAAGTTTCACGTTTTGAATGGAATTACTGAAATATTTTCAACCTTTTGATGATATTCTAATTTACTGGCCAGCACCTGTACCTGACTCTATGCTTGAATTACCTGTTGATGGAGTCATCTAGATCTGCAGAAGCGGAAAACAATGTTTCTCTGCTTCATCACACCTGATTTTAATCAGCATTCGGGGAAACAACGAAAACATGTTGGATAGGGGTTTTCAAAAACCAGGTATGGGGATACCTGAATAGCAGCAGCAGCTAGCTGTAGCAATTCTAGTGCAGTCTAGGACACTTCCTGTAGGAATAACACAATAGTTCTGCTGGAACAACCAGTAATACGAAAATGACAAAGGTGTGAAAGCGTTCTAAAGTAGCATTTGCATGAACATGAAAATTGGTGTTTTGTTATGACTGCAGGTATCTACATAGCTCTTCTTGAACTAGCTAGCTGTTAGCTTTTTGATCCAGTCAGACAAAAAACCTCTTTCTCCAAACTGAGCCGACTACACTGATGTGTGTCATTGAGAGGCTGCAGTAAGTCAGACCTCAGGGGTAATTCTATTCATCTGTACAGTAAATATTTATGAACAGGAAATCATGAGTAATCTTACTTGACCCGAGGAAACTGATGACCACACGACAATGTTGCTTTTGCGATGGACTGGTGGAGGACAGATGAAGAACTTTTGAAGTTGAAGTCATCCTCTAAAGTTTGCAGAACATATTCCAAGAACATACGCACAACTTCATGCTGGTGCGTCCCTTTGTGGTTCTAATAATACAAGAGGGCAACAAAAGCAACAAAATTATGCAGCAACTTGATTTTCACACACATCTACAGCAGCTGCCTGCTGTGCTATACCTGACTGGACATGACTGAGGTGAGTAACTCCCAATCCCATGGAACGGTGGTTTTATTAACCCTGTGGTGTCTGCAACACAAAAGCAAATCAAGTGTCTGAATTCAGAGCATAAAGACGAACATCTAACACACAGATTTTGCAACAGGAAATGTATGTTGGGGTCCTCACCGTTGTGTTCGCATCAGCAAATTGAAAGCCTCCACCCGGAGGTGATAGGGACTCTGTGGTTCGAGCAGAATGCCCCGAAGCAGGTGGGAGGTTATGTCTTTGGGAGGATAGTAACCAGGCTGCAGCAGGTCCGATAACTGCTGTAAGGTGCCTTCTGAGAGGTTCTCATCTATGGTACTGTAAACCAGACTCAGGCTCTGACGACACAGCACCTCTGGAGGTCCCACGCTTTCATAGTTTTCATCAATCTGAAGACAAAAATGAAAACGTGGAGAACTGTTGGTTTATTGTCATAAGTCAAGACCTAATGAAATCTAAAGAAAGAAATTTAAGTGGTCTCTCACCAGGATTTGAGCTGGTCCAGACGTTAGGTTGTTAAAAGCAACTGGACAAACAAACTGTCTATCCTCTTTACTGACAGCCCTGAAGTCTGAGCCAAACCTGCACCCTTCATTCTTGTCTTCTTCATCGCTTTCCCCCGGCCAAACCAACAACACTGGACTCTCATCTCCCAGCTCTCTGTAGGAGTCCATCTCCATCCACCACTCAGGGGAGTTTTCACCTCGCATTTGTTCATAGGGGTCAGCTTGGCTCACATGCCCAGATGTGCGACTTGTGTGTGAGAAAGAGTCGAACTCGGTGTGGTCACACGGGTTCAGTCCAGGAGGAGAAGATGGGGAGGGTTGATCCGGGTGGGGCAATTCAGATCTGTTTATTTCCACCTCTTCCACTTTGGGGACCAGGGTTTCTTTGGAAGCTTCACTTCGAGGTGAAGGAGGGAAAGTTGAGGATGGATTCAGGTTAGGAGAGTGAAAACATCCTAGCTTGTTTTCACTGGTGTTGTACTTGTTAACAGTTGGATCCGAGTTTTTTTCCTCTGCGACAGCACAGTCAGCAGGACGTTGAAGGTGCTGCAATACTTTGTCCTGACACTGTTGATGTGAAAGTTCCTCACTGTTAACTGGATGTCCATCTGGAGCTTTTGCTGCGTCAGGTCCAGTGTGAGCGATATCTAATACAGTAGTTTTAAAATTGCTAATACTTTCTTGTGATTTGCTGTTATTGTTTAAATGATACAGTGACATTGAGGAAGAGTCTTTGGTGAGCTGGACAAAACACTGAGATGTGGTCAGCTCTGTGGTACAGCTTTCATAAAAAGGCAGATGTGCTGTCAGGACTTCCCCCTGGAGTTGGGCTGGAGAACTCAAATATTTCTGCTTTTGGTCACTACAGTCTGGCTGTGGATAAGAGCGTTTCAGGCCGCTTAAAGAACTTTTTAGAAGAACAAAAGCTGGGTCAATTGAGACAGAATTTAGATTTCTATTGCCCCTCTCTTGTTGACGGTCATTAATTAATTGAATATTCTTAGCCTGTAGTTTGTTCTCGTTCTCACTCTCTGTTAGATCTATAACTGGAGGGATGATGAAATCCGTCCTTCTGCGTCTGTTAAGGTCCGGAAAGGTCCATCTTGGGTCTGCGAAGTCAATGTAACGCTAGAGAGTAAAAAAAAAAAGAAAGAAAGAAAAAAAAAACAAGGCCAGTTAACAAATAAAAATGTTGCTTGGATAAGTATAACAAGATCAATTATGAGACAACTCCTTCTAGCTCATGGGTGGATGGATAAACAAGTTATAAATTAGGGATCAAGTAGAAGAGGAGCAGCCAACTCGACTCTCTCGACTTGAACTTTATTTATATAGCACCTTACAGACACCTACATGCCACCAAAGTGCTTCACAGACACACATTAATCATAACACATAAAATCCACTAAAACACAGAACACAATTATTCCTTCTGAGAGGTAAAAGAGGGTGGGACACAGCCCCAAATTCTGTCAAAGAAGTCTTGTCCTTGCGGTAGTTATTTCTCAGTACAAAAAACAACTAATGTCATTGTTTCATCTACAGGCTAGGGCTTTAGCCTGGCCTGCCAGACTCCTCTTCTGTTTAATTCTGCACTAAGAAAGAGTCTGGGAACTCTCCTATTCAAATAACCCCACCCCGTGAGAATTCTAACCAAGCCAATCCGTGCTGAGTAGCGTACGTCACACAGCATAACGCCGAGGTTGTCAAACATGGTAACTGAGGCGGTGTTCGTTGCGGCTCTTTCCTCTGTTTTAAATGACTTGGACACGTCTTTAAAACAAGTAGAAGCGCTAAAAGCCCTGTTTCTAAAGAAAGATGTTTGCGCTGTTGCCAGACGCCATTTTGACTACAAAAAAAAAAAACTACAGCATCGCGGACGTCACACACAGCGATGCTCACTTTCCCATAAACAATGAGGACAGCAGCGGAGTTCGCTGCGGCTCTTTCCTCTGTTCCAAATGACTTGAATGTCTTTAAAACCACAACAAGTAGAAGCACTAAAAGCATTTCTTCTAAAAATATAAAAGATGTTTGCACCGTTGCCAGACAACTTTTTTTTTACTACAGCTAAAAAACTACAGCAACGCGTGGTACAGTCGGGATTTCCGTCTTTTTTCTGATTGGTTCTTTTTGAGCTGCCTAGTCCCGCCCCTCATGTGCCTCTCTGCCTGTGAGTTACCAGACTAGTTCTCTGTGCAGAATTAAACAGAGGACGAGTCTGGCAGGCCAGGCTAGGGCTAGGCAACAAATCAAAAATTTATTGATATCAAAATTTCTGACTTTTATCGTGATAATTTTCCCCATGTGAATAAATTTGTTAATAAGAAAATGAAACAGTGTGTGTAGGTTGGCAGCATTCATGTCCCTTTAAGAAGCTGTACCACCTTGAGTCACGTAAAAATGTGACTCAAAGTAGAACATGTGACACCCCCATCTAGTGGACAACTTTTGTTTTTGCACATACCTGTAGTTATCGTCTATTTATCGTTATCGAGGTGAAATCCTCAATATACCGTGATATTGGTTTTAGGCTATATTGCCCAGCCCTACTTCAGGCTATAAAGTTGTAAGCAAGAAGGTTTAAATTGGCCCACTCAGTGATTGCCGGTCATGACGTGCATTTAATATCTAAATACACAATCCGTCATGCAGCTCATCAGCTCTCCTGAGGGCATCTGCTCTCCTGATGCTCACACAAACGGAGCAAACTGGGCGCAAAGACACCCCCTCCTTTCACTTTGTCAGGGTCTGGCAAAGCACAGCAGATACCCACCACCCCCGAGCGCGCTACAGCACCACCGCACCTTGAGCTTCCCGACAGGGTCGCGGAAGGCGCTTTACAAATAAAGCTTTGTTTGATTGATTTGGCCCCAGGGGAAAAATAGACCTAGACGGGCCAGGAAAGGTGGAGCAGAAAAGGAGGGATTGAAAAAGAAGAAAGGTCTGGGCCACATATGCATGTCCAGGCTGGCCTGTATGTGATCATGTTGGGAGAACCGGTTTAAGGTGGAGTTTTTTGGACCAGTATAATATACAGCGCAATGCTGGGAGTGTGGGGTGGGTTGGGGAGGGAGAAACAGCGGCTGTCAGGATCAGATGATGATGATCAGGTTCTGATGATCAGATCATCAGACTCATATCCTTTAGGGACAGAGCAGTGCTTTGGCCTGGTGCCAGCACCGCCGCCACTTCTAATTATTACCTTTCAGCATACCAGCACTTTTCTAGGGTGCACAGCTTACCGGTAAATTTTCCGGGTATTCAATAGTCGAAATCTCAGAGATTTTTGAAAAGATATCTGTGTGTCCTCAAACACCAGTATCCACAGTCTGGCACGCGCTTCACGAAAGGACGCAATTTGCGAAAAAAGGCGCATCAATGCCGCGAGGTGCACCACCGTCAGCTCAGGCAGAGGACAGAAAATGAAATTGTTACCACACACTGTTCACATTCCCACAATGACTGACAGCAGCATCAGCTGACCAACCGGTGGTTAAACGCTCTCACAGGCAGGTACATCCATGGAGGAAAAACGGTTTCTAAACAGAAATATGGATCATGAGCAAACACGAGAAATGAAATGTCAAAAGAGGAGTGTGCTTCACTTGAAACTTTGTGGTCATAAACATCTTGCTGCTGCTGATAATGAGACAAATGAGATGATAATTCTGACCTGGACTGATCTGGATTAGATCTTACAGCAGCTCTGATGATCATTTATGAAAATTCTGCATAACCTCTGGCTTATATTGTCTTTGGTTCATAGCCTTTAAACCCCTAGTATTATCATTGGTGTATATATAAATATTATGAAGAAAACATCCATATATACTGGTCTGTCTGTCTGGTGAAAGTGAGAGAGAGATCATATATATATATATATATATATATATATATATATATATATATATATATATATATATATATATACATATATAATCATATCATTTGTCGGAGATGTGTGCATCTCCAAAACGCTTCTGCCGTTGTTGAGGCTGTTTTGTGCCTAAGTTGTAAACCTAAATGACACTAATGATGCAGTAATTTAGCAATGGGGAGGTGATGCAGTAATTTAGCAATGGGGAGGTGGACCCCCCCCCCCCCCCCCCCCCCCCCCCGCACACACACATTTTTTATGTCTCTGCTTGTGGTGTGATTCTCTTGACCCAGACATGTAGTCTGGTACCTGTTAGTCCCAAATTCAGACGAGAAGAAGAAAATATCATTTATATAGCGCCTCTCAAGATAAAAATCACAAGGCGCTTCACAAACACAAAAAAATATATAAAAATATAAAAAAGCTTTTAGAAAATGTTTAAAAATATATTTAAAATGAGCAAATATAGGCAATTGGGATGGTGAGGATGGTGTCTGGCCTATTTCATCTAATGTGCAGGAGGCACGTTAAACAGAATTAAATAGAATTTCAGTTTATTACACTTTTACATCAGTAGGTGCCCAGTCTGACTCACTTTTAGTGTTCAGCGTAAATTGAGTGGTGGCCTGGTATGGTTTCAAAATTCCCAGCCTGAATTAATGTCCCAGTCCTCCCCTGGGTGAATCAGTCGAGCTTAGTCACATTTGGCCCTAAACTCACGTGTAGTTATTACCTCTTGGTAATGGAGAGCCAGCTGAGGCAGTGCGGCCCTCGGGTCGAAGTCTGAAACAGTCTGGGGTCCGGGTCCCATCAGGAGCTGGCGGAGGCCGCCGAGGAGGGGACAGTATGGGCGTGACTGACAGGGCTGCTGCCCCTCCACCCGGACCCGTATGACTCCGTTATGAGCGGTTAAAGACGAACTTATTAATCAATGCCACCGTTATCAGCAGTTAACGTAATAAACGGCAACATAACATTTGGTGACACGAGTTTTGAGACTCCTATCGAAAGAAAATAATAAACATTCGGTGACAAATGTGTTCATGGCTCTGCCGACAACCTGATGTATAAAAGGCTGGGCTATCCCCAGCTGGCTGGCGCTAATTTCTATAGCAACAACTTGGTTAGCTTACCCGTGGGACGTTTACGTTCAGGGCTTCGATGTCGACTCGAACTTGGGACAGCGGCAGCGGGTCAGACTTGATGAATCTCCGGTAGGAGATGATCTCCACGTCGTCCGAGTCGTCTGAGCTGAGGGAAATCACATCATCCACCCCTCCGCTGTCGCTCACCGCCCCACGGGAAACAGAAACTCCTGTAGGGTCACGTAAGTTGGGGGTCCGCTCACTCATTCTTCAACAACGATCACCGACCCGTAAAGGTCGCTCCAGGGTTCTGAACACGGACGGACTTAACACGAGGAAAGCATGGAGGAAAGGCACGTTACCTAGCCTAGTGAACTAGACCAAATTATATGTGTGAATATATAGTCTGGCTTGCCAGGCTACTCGCTACCGTCATGTTTGGTCGAATCTACACACAGGCTCGCTACATTTGGGCATTTCCACCTTAAAACGACAATAAGCTACGTGTTCTTTAAGCTCTGAATGTGACTCTTATTTTATAATTGTATCGATAGCCACGCTTCCCCTAAAATAAACGCTATTAAAACTAAACAACGAGCTAAGTCGCATTTCAAGACCACTTCCTACTTTTCCAAAACATGTTTTCTTCTGCTGTCCGGCGGAGCTCTACCGGTGTAACACACGCAGCTAGCGCTCCCTGTTGTTCAACTCAACTTGTTCTCCAGATGAAAGAGAAAATGCTCAATTAGGCAATTATTACTAATAAATTAATAGCAATGACTGAAAGCAATGAGAACAGCGTCAGCGTTTATCATTCTTCTAAAAGCAAACTTCTATTAAAATCCACAGAAATGGTTATGGTCAAGTAAATATTTCCAAATAGTGCTGGGTCTGGTCTGGAATTGAAATGAGGTATTTTATTTAAACCAGTATGAATAAGGAAACCCAAGTATTGTTTTAGCAAGATTTGGTCTCAGACGTTTTTTAGAAGTCTTATAAAGCCTTTGGGTACCCAGCATGACATTACAGATGCTTTTTATGACACAAACTATGCATCTTTTTGTCAGTGTAAACTTCATATTTGATGATATAGAGGTAGATTAGTTACAAAATCTGTTGTTTTGGATAGCATATTTATTTTTGCATTACTTCTGAATAAAGTATAAAGAAATCATGCAAGTTCCATCCTGAGCTTAATTTTGATTGGCTGGAAGTGGAAAAAGAAAACTCCCACATATGAAATTAGGTTTGTCTTTGAATGCCTTGGCTTTTGGACTAACCAGTTTATGATTGTGGGATTAATATCTAAGATATTAGTTGATTTCAGAGTATTAATTGTTGTTATCATACTCATTCCTTCTGGCTAGGGACTGGTTTATATTGCCTAAATCTAAAGGCAAGTTTATACTTCTTCGTCTGTGTCATTGCTGAGACACACAATGATATAATAGCTGTAATTGCAAGGGCACTCCAACAGGCATGCAAGGACGGAGTACCACCCACTTTTTAAAATATCTGTCGAAAGCAGCGGAGACCACCATCCTGTTGTGGCAAGGTGGATAAACGAGGGCCTGGGCAGGATTCGATCCCCAGACTCCCGGGTGAGAGTCATACGCTCTAACCAGTCAGCCAAAGGGACATCCCCTTGGCCAAGTAGCCAGGGCGCATGATCAATCGGGACATTGTGACAGGACACTCACTGTCACATCTTCCCCCCTCTTTCCACAAGCACGTCCTCGTGCTCCCGCGCAGGGTGCCACAAACTTCACATCCATGGACCTACTTGACAGCACTACATGGATCCTGCCAACAATGCCAAATGTGGCAAGGTGGATAAACGAGGGCCCGGGCGGGATTCGATCCCCAGACTCCCGGGTGAGAGTCATACGCTCTAACCAGTCAGCCAAAGGGACATCCCCTTGGCCAAGTAGCCAGGGAGCATGATCAATCGGGACATTGTGACAGGACACTCACTGTCACACTGTGATTGGTCAGGAAGCCGCTTCCTTTAACTCTGTCAACAGCGCCTCCATTCTATCTCAAAGAAATAAAATGAGAGCTGAAGATATTGAACGTGTTAAGACCCCGACAGAAGATGTTAAAATGTGAAGGAGGGGGTAACATAAGAACTTGGAACACCGGAATTAAAATGTGTTTAATTGTCATAAAAGGTTTAAAAACAAGTGTGTGAACAGATGGAGAGCATTATGACAGGAAGCAGCTTGAAAAACATCTCACAGATAAAGTCTGAGCATGTAAATGTTACTACACTTGTGACTGAAGGAGTACAAATAATAATAATAATGATGCATTGAACTTATATAGCGCTTTTTCTAGACACCCAAAGACGCTTTCACACACTCTCACATTCACACACTGCTAGTGATGGTAAGCTACTTGTAGCCACAGCCGCCCTGGGGAGGTCTGACAGAGGCGAGTCTGCCATTTGGCGCCGTCGGCCCCTCTGACCACCACTAACACAGGCAAGTTGGGTGAAGTGTCTTGCCCAAGGACACAACAGCAGGATACCCCTGGCGGGAGCTGGAATCAAACCCATGACCCTCCGATCATGAGGCAACCCGCTCTACCACCTGAGCTACTGCTGCCCCAAGGAGTACAAATATACGCAGCAAACTTTTAATTCGTATCATGAAATTTTGGGAAGCGTGAGTTTAAAGGTGGTGACTGGATGAAGAGGTGGACGACAAATTTGTGTGTGTTAAAAAGTTTCTGAAATACGTAAACACAAGAGAAGTGCCTGCACTGATGCAGGATACCCCAGAAAAGCACTACGTCCTCTGCTGTTCTGGAAGAGAATTGCTTCAAAACGCTAACACCAACAGAGACATATAAATGGAAAATGTCTCGTCAATACATGTACGTGTGAGTGCACAGCAAGAGCTGGCTGGGAAGAAGCTGAAACTCCAGAGAGGAACATTTAGCTATTAAAGAGCAAGTAAAGCATATTTAAATCAATGCGATCATGGACTTTTTGAATGTGAACAATGTTGATCTGAGCATGAAAACAACAATTTGTGCTCTCAAATCTACAAAATACACTCTTGATTTGAGGCAGGATGAATTCCCCATCTGAGGCTGTTGTTAGGTTTAACGTTAACCAGGCTGTTGTGTGACGCATATTAAAGTTTGAACTGACAAGGCTTCTTATAGGTGAGAAGTAAAGCATGTACAATAACTAAATAGGTGCTGTTGCCTTCGCTCACACCTACTAAGGTATCCATGACCTCATGACTGAGAACCTTCACCTGCAGCAGATAATTTAGTTCTGTGTGCCATGTAACACGTTTGAGTTCTGATTTTGTTCTGAAACAGTCTGATCTGTTGAGTCCTCCTACCAGAGCCCACTGAGTTAACATGTTATCTCATCCATCACCACTGGAGTGTACTCATGTCCTGTGAACGCTGTGGAAATGTGTCTGAAGGTGTTCTCAGACATGCATTTAAATCCTGAAAAAAAGCCTTCATTCAAAATACAGAGGAAACAATACCAGTTTATTCTAAATCAGTTCAAATTTATAGTTCAATTTTTTTTTTTTCAAGATGGTCAAATTGTTTCCCTCCTTTAATATAGCGGTTCTGCTTTAAAGCAGCTTTAAAATTTTCTTACACTCTCACATGCTTAAAAACACCAGACTTTGAATACATTTAGTAATCAGCAGCTGGTTTAGTCCTTAGAAAAAGGTCATGCCCTCCCTTGATTGTTCAGACTCACTAATGATAATAAAACCACATTAATAACCTCCCGTCATTAATTCAAACTCAGCTCTTTTCCTCTGCCCGTGTTGGGTATCCACATGTGTTTTCTAGGAAAAACGGGCCATTTTGCTGGTTGTTTTTCAAAGCAGTGTAAATTTTCTTTCCTGCAGTCTCATGTAATTGGATGAAAAGGGTTATTAACCTCAAATGTCTGAAACCATTACATGCTGTGAGGAGTATCAGGCGGGGTGAGTCATCTCAGTCAGACACACACAACCTCCTGACATCCATTCAGCAGAGTGAGGACTTTATTACGGTTGTTTGTACGCAAAAAGCTGCGTTGACGCCACCAATGCCTCAGAAATCACCTTCTAACATACACCAGGAAACATCCCTGATGTGTATGATGAGTTAAAACCCCAGAACCCCTTTAAGCTGGCTTCAGTGGTGCTGAAAATAAAAATGTTGCAGCAAAACAAAATTAGACTGCTTGAAAAGTTGATCAAAACTACAAAATGATCATTATAAAATCTTCTAAAATCAACCAGACCTGCTGCCCATTTTTGACTGAATAATGAACAAATATGTCATACTGCTTACTTGTTTAGTAGTTTCCTTGCTTCCGTAAAAACGCTCTAACACAGGGCCAGATGGCTTTGCGGAAAACCCAGAATAGCATTTAAATTCCAAAGAGGACGTCAGATCTTTTGTTTAAAGAGACAAATGATCCCTTTTTACACACGTTTTCTTGAAGTCTTAATAAATTGTTTGTGAGTAAAATACTACAGAATTACAGCAGACCTCACACAGCCTGTCTCTGTAGCTCACTTTAGCCCTCGTAATAAAACACTTGACTCCTCTTCCTCCCTTTTGGGTTTTATTAAAAGCTTCAGCCTGACGTTAAACATTGATGTAAGCTCTTTTATTCCAATATGTAATTTCCCTCATCACCTGTCAAACAGAAAATTTGTTTTTATTCTGTGTTTCTTGGAAAATATCAGAAAGGTATCAATATATTAACATGTTTTAACCACAAACACCCTTGAGCCTTATCAGCTTTTTAAGTTAAATGACATTCATCTCCTGATGAAAAGAGAAAAGTCTGAACCACCCTCCCTCAAAGAGCAGAAATATTTAAAGTCAAAATCAAACGAAGAGTATGGATTCTCTTTTACTTAATCAGACGTGCTTCAGTGGATCAAAACATGAAAAAGAAATAAAACAGTGTTAAACTTTTTTTTGCTGAACTTTTCAAAAGAGATCTGTGGATTCAAGATTCTTTATTTATCCTAAATGAAAGTTTTGATTGGTTTATTACCAGGTTATCCTTGGTTAGTGAACACCATTGACATATGGACAAAAAAGGTCGATTGGCTCAACTGATATGGATTTGCTGAAAAATGGGAGTTTTCCACCGTCACCATTTTGACAGTGTTGCACGTCTCGACACACTCAGACAATCCAAAAACAGAAAAAGAGGTGGGGCTGAGGGTGGGGCTGTTACAGTTGTGACGGGGTTGGAACAAATGAACCAGTGTAGCTACTAGCTAATTTTGCTAATCCAAGAAGCTAAGAAGGCGAGGCTGTAGTCATGCTGGCCACCTGTAGAGCTCTATGGACTGTTAAAATACAAGCAAAGCCTCAGACCACTGCGAACAGAGCCAGGTGCCTTGACCACTTACATGAAGTCATGCTCCACCTCGGTTGGAGGTCAGCGAGAGATTAGCTACTAGGGTTGCAAAAACAAATTGATAAAATTGATAAAAAATTGACGAAGAAATACTTTGGCAATGCATTTCTTCATCCTTTACCGAGGATGACGCCTTTTCCAGAGCTAGCCATTAGCGCTAGCTCTGATGCTCATGTTACCTGTCAATCAAATCTAATTATTCATAATTTCAAGCATTTAATTACACTTAAATGGAACAGTTACAGTGAGGATTTGCTC